CTTTGTGTGTTTCCAGCAATGGTCTTGATCTTCTTTAATTCATATTGTTCTTCATCATCTTACTGCTGAATCATTTGTACAACTCAGGTGCACAGTGCTCTGTGGCAATTTCTGTATGGTATTCCTTTGACTCTTCTGCTGTTTATTTTGATGCTTTTACACATTCTTTTTTTTTTCTATTTACTAATTCCAAGTGAATTATGTTTTCTTGCATGAAGTCTGTATTTTTTTATTTACTCTGTCTGTGTGGGCCAGCAAGCTGCCATACTCCCAGTGTTACTGCTGCAGTTATTGAGATATGAATGTAAGTACAAATTGGGGCATGGATAGAAATGAAACAGTGAACTTATCCAGAGGAAGCACTGTCGGAAAAGCCAGATTTTTTTCATTTTCATGGAGAGCAATAGAAGCAGAGAAGCTGACAAAGTTGCAAACTGATCAAGGAGGACAGGATGTTGCCAGAGTACTTCATGCTGTTACAGATTCAAAACAAATCATGTTTCAAGTTTTATTCTCAGCTGACTATTGTTCTACTTACAGGAAACTAACTTACATATTTTCATTTAGTTTTGGGTTCTTGGTATTTACTCTTTTCATGCCTTTTGCTTTTTTTTAAGCTAATGAACCTACAAAACTCGTAACAGCATTATTATATTATTTCATATCCTGAAGCACTGTTCTTAGCATTGTGCTGTGAATTCTGCTTGGACTTTGTAAGAAGATGTGAAACTAGTGAAAAGCATAAATATTTTTGTGGGAGAAGGGCAAGAAATGATTAACATGCAGATTCTAAAGTTGACATTCGTAGAACCTTACAGACTTCCAAAACTATCTCTTAAGATCCCTTACTGTCTTTTCTACTAAGTGGTATATCAGATTAAAGAATTATTAAAGAAGTATAAAGAAGTGCAACAGTAAATTTAAAAAGTTTCAGACTTGTGAAATCAAATCAATATCAATTTAGGTGTTGACCTGAAATTAGGTACCCTCATCAAGATGATCCAAACATTTGAAGCTGGTCCCCATGAGTATAGTCCCCGTATAGTCTCTCCAGGGCATTAAGGAAGCCAGAAACACGAACGAAAAATTTCCTTCGCTCAGTAGGGAGGTTCTTAGATTTAGAAGGGATGGGGGAAGGAAGCTATGCAGAGGGCAGGGATATTTCTGAGCTCTTGCACTTATCTGAAACATATGTAGCTGTGTCAGAGTATCACCTGGAAGCAGAATGCTAAATCCTTTTCTAAGGTTAATATTTCTTGAAGGTAGAATTTTTTTTCCTTTTGCTTACAGTGAATTCTTGACTTTGCATCTTAGTAATTAGAACTAGGAGATGATAGACTTAAGATTCTTGACTTCCACTGACCTGAAGGGGCAGAAACCCTATGTTATACCTCCCACTGACCTGAAGGGGCAGAAACCCTATAATACCTCATATGTAAGTGCTGTACCTAGCAGTATATAACATATGTTTAAGCTGTGCAGTTATGAATGTAGGAATCACAAACCAAGAGGAGAGAGAAACAAACGATTCTTGATTCTATTATGCAGCATTTGAGCCTCTGAGCTGGGGAAGAGAGACCTAGATTCCAGGCAAAGTGCAACCAGGTACCTTGAGTATTCTCAGGCAGTATTTGTCAGGGCTTTACTGCAGGTGCTAGCCATGGAAAGAAAGGCTAAGCTCTCTTAGGGATGTCAGTGGTAAGTATTCCTTGGAGGGAAGGCATCAGACCTTGTTCTGAGCACTAACCCTGTGTAAAATAAAATTCATGCTTTGAACTGATCAAAGACAAGCTCAAAAGCAGGGTCTGCAGATCCTCATTTTGCAGTTAGAAGCTTCAGCTCCATCTAATAACGGGATTGGGTACTCTTGCCTCTCCGAACCTACTATAAAACCCACAACTTTCTTTGATAACATTTTATCTGTAAGTATTTAAATATTTTGGTCTTTATTTGTAACAAAGGCATTTAGCCAATGTTAGGAAGTTTACCGTTTACTGTACATTTTGCTAGTATGAAAAAGCTCTTCTATAATGAAAGAGAAATAGAAAAATCTTTTTATTGAGATCAGAGAAATTAATGTTACTCTTATGGAAATGGGCTACTGTGTCTGTTGTGTCTACCAATCATTAACCTAGAGCCATATTTGGATGTGATTGATAACATGTGAGGGGAATTTTACATTATGAAAAACTGTCCCTAAAAGATAAGCTCTCCAGTTATTCATCTTCAAAGCATACAATGATAATATAAAAAAGTCATGAGAATGCATGTGTTTCTCCATAAGGTTGATGATCTCCAATAACAAAACAGATGTTCAGTGTTTTTGCCTTGAAAATATGATCATGGTGAGATTTTGAGTGCACAGTATCTTTTAGAAACAATGCTGTCCCTGATTTATCCTCACTGTGCAGTATGTTCAGTTTCTTATTTTTTCTAATCATTGACTCCAAACAATAAATATGTTAATCGAAAAGGCATTCTACTGTTCTACCATGAATGAAACTATAGGCACAAAATTGTTTATGCATTGAAATCTTCTATGATCATCTTTGTCAGCAAGGTTGTGATTTCATTCTGTTTACTCCTAGCCTGTTTTCTCCGATTTCTGGTTGCTGTTTTCTCCAGCCTCTGGTTGCTTCCAGGGTATGATCTGTATCCAGAATTGAGCATTTCAGTTCCTTATTATCTTGCATTATTCATTTTCTTGCACAGCTTGAATACATTTTGAGTACTTTCAGTATAGTGTACCAAAACATTTCTCCCCGATGGCTTTCTTGCATTTGTTAGTGTGTGGCAAATGAAAGGAGAGCAAAGAGGAATCAAATACAGTTTTTATGTTGCAGGGACTACTTTCTCCTCCTGCTGTTGATCATACAGATGAAAAGCAATTGGTAGAACAAAATTAAAATACCCCAAAATATTTTTGACTTTTCTTTTTCTTCTGTATTAATTTAAAAAAGTGATATGCATTAAGTATTATTGTAAATTGGGAGATATCTTTAGCTAATCTTTTTATTAAATGTATTCATGTTGATATTTTATTAAAGAGCCCAATATTATGTTGACATGTTGCAAATTTTTTTTTTGTAGATTGCAGTGATGATGTATTTCGTTGTAACACAGGAAAATGCCTCAATTATACCTTTGTGTGTGATGGATATGATGACTGTGGAGACCTTAGTGATGAACAAAACTGTGGTAAATGAAAGATTTATACTTTTCTGTACTCTTTAAGATGGCAGTATTGCTTAGCCTGGAAATAATTTTTCTTAAACTACTCAAAACAATATATCTCATTGGTGTTCTTTTGGGGCAAAGTAAAACAGTTTGCACATGGTTATAAACAATTTGGAAAAGTTAGAAAATGGAATTTGAGCACATTCAAATTATGAAGGTTTTGTAGAAAAAAGAATGGTGTGTTTTAGACTTAGTCAAGATGTTATAGTTGCTTTCCTGCCCACTTGGATGACTTTAACTGAAACTAAAGGAAACCAGAAGAGGCCACAGCCTGGAGATAGACAGTTTTATGGCTGAAAAGTTTTATGTAAATGTCATTAGGAATGTGCATATCTTAAGCATCAAAATCTACTCCTCCTTAAAATGTTGTTTTTAATTCACATTGTTTTTTCTGCCTTGGTACAATTTTTTTCCTACCTGCAATTGTTCTCATGAAAAAAAAAAAAAAAGTTTTGTCATAAAAGATAATGATCTTTAAACATTCAAAATCTTCTCAAGCACAAGACCAGGACTTATTTATCAAACTTTTACTCCTAATCCTATGCCTGAGAAGAATTAAGTGGTAACTTTATAATACTTCTCTTAAAGTTTAAATATTATTTCTTATTTTCTTCTTTCTCTTTTTTTTTAATAAAAAATACACAATTTCAAAGCAAAAAAAAAACCTAAGCATATTTTTTCCTGAGATTTCTACTATGTTTCATCTCCAAATTAAAAATAACTCAAAGACTTCTTGCCACTTTTGATTCGTGATTGGAGTTTTTCTTGTAAAGCCTGTCTGATGACAGATTTCCTTAAACATTAGTCTGACTCCTACCATCACCATCTTGAGATCATTTTTCTGTATAAAAATTTCAAATCTGACTTCCTCTGTCTGTACAGATTACAGATGGCTTCATGACTGGTTAGCACACCGGCCTGCACGTGTGCTTTCTGTTTCAGTGTAAATTCAGCCAGGATGGCTTACCTGAGTGAGGAAGACTGCATAAGCTAACATATTTTATTTGGCCCTGTGGCAGATGGAGTGAATAAATCACAAACTGGAACCATGATCCAAGTCTTTTTTCTTATCAACTTGTCTGTGTTGACACTGTGTTTTGACTTTTAAAATACGGACAGATGGATTGCACTGAAATACTTTGTGTGTGGCTAGGCCATATAGCATTTCCAAGGTCAAGATCTTAGTCTTGAAACATTACCATAAAGGCACTTTATGAGCATACTATCTTGTATGTGTCCATGATAAACTGAGAACAGTTGTGTTGCCAGACCTGAACAAATATACTAATGCAGTCTGAATGGTACAAACTGTATTCATCAAGCTTCCAGGGTGCTTGGAGTGTGAATTCCCTCATGAGCTATGGTAGACTTTTGCTGCTAAATCATAAATGCCTGAAACATCTGTGTGACCAACACCTCACCCTCCATACATAGTAAATTAGTATGGTGCTAAGCAGTTTGGAGAGAAATAGAACCATGTCAAACATTTTCAACTCTCCCTCCCCTTCTCCCCACCAAGCCTCTAAGAAAAGTACACCAAAGCTAAAAGGCAAATATGGTCTGATAATAATTACTCTCGTAAGCTTGACATGCTCCAAGACCTGTTACAGCTGTGTGTATTTCCTTTAGTCAGCCTTCTCAGCACAATCCTTTTCTTTATTTGAAGAAGCATCCTGACAAAAGGATGAAGATAAAGTTAGACTAGTTTAGACAAGTTTATTCTTAGATCTTATGAAAAAATCTGTCAACCAGCAAAAACTTTCCTTTTTTCTGATTAAGTATAACAAATATGGCAGTTGAAAAACAAATAATTTACTACTTAGTAAAAGGTGTGAGGCATGTTATTCTCTGATGGTAACTAAAAAAGTTGGCTTACTGAAAATCTTCGCATAAGGTGGGTAGCCAGAAGATCTTTTAATCTACTTAATAAATCTTAGAATCTTGAAAATAGTTGTTCACCTGAGAGATTAAATGAACACAACACTATCTAAACAGGAATTAGTATTCAGAACATATGTAACCACCATCTTCAATAGAATTTGCAGATGCAAAAAAAAAAAATCTTACTGGAATTTACTAAGGCACAGGAGAAGTTAGCAAGAATGATGAGTTTACAGGCATGGAATAATTGAGCAAACATAAAAATTATTAAATTGCTGGCATATCATTCATTTTTGATCGTACTTTTACATTGTATTCAGATTGTAATCCAGTGATGCATCATCAGTGTGGAGATGGAAGGTGTATAACAGCTGATTGGGTGTGTGATGGTGACCATGACTGCACAGACAAGTCAGACGAAATCAATTGCTGTAAGTTTACTTAGATCTCTAAATAAGTTTTCTGTTTCTTTCTTTAGAAAATAAAACCCAAATGCTTGAACTTCTGTCTTCCCAGCAGTGATTATGATGATGACAGCAAAGACATACATAAAAATTATATTAGAATAATACTGAGGTTGCAAATCAAATATTGAGGGATTAGCAAATATTTCAAAATCATTAAAGTTATCATACCCCATTTTCTCATGCACCTCTGGTTCTAGCACCATCTTGCCTTTTGGCCTCACACCACTATCTTGTAGTTTTCTCCAAAATCTGAGAACCTAATACAAATAAGGGGGTGTAAATAAGTGAGCTAAAAAAGGTGATAGAGTCTTTACATCAGGAAAAACTATGTTTTATTTTCTTTTGAAACTGCTGAGCCTTGAATTCAGTCTGTTGCTAGCACCTGGCATATAGGGTTTAGGTCCCTAAAAATGAGCACAGTTGTAGGCTATTGAAAACACAGCTTTTCAATGAAAAATGTCTAGTGACCTCAGTGATAAGCAACATAATGTAACATAACTTTAGTAAGAATTATCCAAAAATAACTGAGGCCTTCAGCAACCTAAGTTAATCAGAATATTGTGTGTTTTCTCCAGCATGTCATAGTCAAGGTCTGGTGGAGTGCAAAAACGGGCAGTGCATTCCCAGTGCGTTCCAGTGTGACGGAGATAATGACTGTAAAGATGGAAGTGATGAAGAAAACTGCAGTGAAAGTAAGGATCATACCTCGTTGTCCTCCTCTTATTGTGGAATCTCTGCTTTCACAAAGGAAGCTGTAAGCAGAATTTTATCAGTTGCTTTCACAAAAACAGTGTTAAAGCTGGGGCATTTGAAGGTATTTTTCATATGTGGATTCTCTTGCCTCTCATAAGTTCGTTTACATTGCAGTCTTTTCTTCAGTGGGAGAAATATTAATATAATTCTCTTATGATTCTTATCTTCAGTAAACTTTTAAGTATCCAGTTCACTTAGTAAACTAGGGAGTAAACTGTCAGACATAGTCATATTAGGAAAGCATATTCAAAGGTTATTAGAGTAGGACCGATAAATTAGTGTAAGATAAGTGCATAGTGTGATTATATAAACCGGATTTTCTTAGGAAACTAATCTAGAAAAATCCTTTCATACATGTTTCTACTTGATTCTTCTGTCCTTGTTAAGCTCTCTGGATCTCCACACAACTATTTAAATATCTTTTTAACTAAGACTATAAAACACAGAAATTACCATCATTCTTCTCTGCAATGCATGATGAAGTTGCAAGCAACTCTTGCAGGAATTTTTTTCTAATTCTGACTCTGGCAGTATAAAAACCTGGGGCAAAGTTCTCACTGTGTAATCTCACAAAATGCTCATTTTTTTTTTCTTCGTAATTCCTGGGTTTTGGTGTTTTGTTTTATAAATTCCATCGCCTCTGTTTCTCACACTGATAGCTGTTATTGTGAAAGAGATAGGATGAGATAGATGAAAGAGATAAAAGAATGAGATAAACTCTGAAGTACAAAACTGTTTAGAGCTTTCTAGAAATAACAATTGAAAATTTTCAAATTCACCCATCTTAATCCTGTTAAGATTGTTTGTCCTTAGTGAAGAGAATTTCACTGAAAATTTTGCTATGTGATCTGGACTAAAAGCTAGTGGTGTGATTGTTTCTTGCTGCTTTTTGCCTCTGGGGAAGTTTAAGAAATATTTGTAATTTTTTTTTCTTTCAAGAAATGCAGATTGAAGGATACTAAATGCAGAGAAGAAGCGGTCATAATAGCCAGTGTTCTGCCTACACCTTAAAAGATTTTTCTTCTTAGTGTTAAAATGTGATGCTTTTAAATAAGAAACTTTTCCATACTCTGTTTTCTATTCCTAAATATTAAAGAAAAAAATCTGTCCAATATTTTGCAACATTTTGTAGTGCAGAAACCGGTCTCTAATACAGCCACAGATTGTTCTGCCTAAGTTTGCTCAAGAGTAGCAAGAGTAGGCAGAGTTTGGGCTTCATTTGGGTCATTCCTCTTTAGTTTCCTGTAAAGTTTATTTAAATCTAGCCTGAATTTCAGCTTGCAACTTTCTTATGCATTTCTTATGTACGTAGTTGAATTCAGCAACTAGAGAAAATGTAGTGGGACATGCACTAAATGCAAAGAGTTTTCTTCTCCACAAGTTATGGAATTTATATATGCCTAGTAAAGGCAGTGAAGTTATTGCTGAAATGATCTGGAGTATTGGTTTTGCTGCAAACACAGTAAATATATGAAATCAGCATAGAAATGTGGGATTGCGATGTAATCACTTGTTACTTGTCCATATAAGGATACAAGGCCCTTGTGTACAAGGATCTACTTATAAGGATTATAAATGACCATTAGCTTCATCTGTGCCTGAATAAGAAAAATAGTTTCCTTCTCTACATATCTTAAGGAAATGGAATTATGGCATCTAATGACATTACTGCTGTCATTCATTTTGTGAAAATAGAAATCTTATATAGATGTACTGACAGCTGGGTCTCTAATCCTCCAAAAGGCAGAGTAGTGTATGTTTATAGAAACTCAGCATTGACTCTGCTGGGATTAGAATATTACTGTAGCCCAAAGAGTTTTTAAGGGTTGAGACTCTCCTACTGAGGAAAAAGAAGGAGATGGAGCAAACTAAAATGTAAATGTAAAGTTCTTTAGTTTTTTAAAATGTGAAGTGTTTTAGCAGTTTTAGAAGTCAAAAGGCTTTTTCTGCCTTTAAAGTTCTATTATATAGTTAGATGATTCTGTAAAATAGGACAGTCAGTTGTGAGAGCAAAAGAAGTATCTCCATAGCTTCAGTGTGCACCACGCAGGAAGTAAAGTTAACTCACAGAAGTATGGATAGCTCTGCCTATTTCACTAAGCTATAGAAACTAGCTTGTCAGTTTTTTGGTACAAGTACTGGTTTCTTCAGGGTTTCTGTATGCCCAAGAAAAAGATGTCACGTCCAACTGCCTAATGCTTGTGGGCAAAAGTGCAGTAGAAATAAGAAGGAATAGTTACAATAAACTATTCTAATGAGATGAGGTGTTAAAATCCAAGCCTTTTAGTCTTCGAGTTCAAGAATATTCAATCAAATTAATGGCTTTGCAAAAAAATAAAATGAAGTTGCAAAAAAAAGGAGAGTGTCAGAGAAATAGATTATCCAGCTTTTGGATAAAGGGCTTTTCTGTTATTTGGATATCCATCTTTAGAATCATAAGATTTTTGTCTTTTTTTTTAACTACCCAGAGAAGGGCAATAAAGCTTTAGTTCAGACACCCTTTCTTCAGGATGTTTTTTTTTGGTCCACTGAAACAATCATAAAATGAAAAGCAGATCAACTGAATGGCACTGGAAAACAATTTCCATAGGGTATTCTCTTTGGCTAGGACCTTCTGTTCCACTTGTAATGTGATTAACGTGACCTTTGATACTCTGCCACAAGCAGGATGGTAAAAGGCTTTCAGAGATCCACACCTCTCATTCGAAGCTGGGACATAAATTCTTATCTTAAGTGTAGGAGTAAAGAAAAATGAAAAACATCTGGAGATTGCTACACACTTTTTTTTCCTTCCAACTTTAAAGTGTTGTAAGGTACTTATTGCATTAGGTAAAGGAAACACTTGATTGTGACGAGTCTGTCTGTAATTTTTTATCAGTACACTCCAGTCAATTTTAAAGACCTGGTAAGTCATTGGAATATTTTCTTTTCTGCAGGCCAAACCCTCTGTCAGGAGGGAGACCAGAGATGTGCTTCCTGTCCTGATCCCTGCGGATCTTCTCCCTGTGACATGAGAGACAGCCAGACAAACTGCAGTAAGTAGGTCACGTGCTTCCTACTGTTTTAGGGTATTTTAGAGTATAAATGAAGATAGCACATAGTAAGCAATACTTTTATTTAAAAGTGATACCTTTATTTACTATCTAATGCCCAAATATTTAATGATTAAATGCTGAAAAATGCAAAGTGCAAACAAAAGTTCTGTCATAATAGTCGATTGTAGTCATAATGTGCTAAGATATAGTTACAACATTTGTAACTGAGATTTTGACCCCCTCTGTGATTTTTTTGATCCATTCTTATCGGTGTTTACAATTCCACTTTTTCATATCATTAAATTAAATTCAGTGTATACACACAGGAAACAGCATAATGTAAGTGCAAGCTACTGGTTTATTTTCAAAATATAAGGAAGATTGATAATGTTTAGTAATCTGGAGAAGGTACTTTTCCTTGGGTTCAATTTTGATATTCCAAGTGGCAAAATTAGTTATTCTTTTTACCAATGCATACTGTAGTAGATCAGGACCTTCCTCACAGCGTATCTTTGTGTGTGAGCAGTGTATTCAGGGAATCTCATCAGTGCAGGCCCCTTAGCACATGGGCTGCACATCAAGCTTGCCTCACTTGTGTATAAATGTGTATCCATATCCTATTATGGCTTTGTGAGTTTGAGCAGTTATCTCTCCAAGGTACTGTTTGGTACTACGCGGTAGGCTGCTTGGATCATGTTAACAAGATACTTTATTACACTATTTAGAAGCATGTAATAATTTTGGTTGGAAGAGACATCTGGAGGTCATCTAGCCCAAACTCCAGCTTGAAGAAGTGCCAACTAGATCACGTTGCCTTGGACCTTGTACAGTTCTGTTTTGAATATTTTAAAGGATAGGCAACCCGTTCCAGTGTTAGACTACTCTTGCAGTAAAACTTTGGTTCCTAATATCATACTGAATGGAATTTCCTGTCTTCCAACTTGTCTGTTCTGTCATCCTATCCTTATGTCCTTCTGAGAAGAGTCTGACTCTATTCACTTTACACCTTGCCCTATGGTAGTTAGGAGCAGTAAGATAACCATAACCTTTTGAAGATTAAAAAGAGGTGCTTTGTGATGACATTGGTCACTTTCCTCAGCATGCTCAAATGTGTTCCATATGATCCCATGGACCTGTGTGTCTTGTTGGCTTAAGTGCTCTTACCTCCATCTTTCTCTACTCTGGGGACTGCTCCACTCTCACTGGTTGGGCAGTATGCTCAGGAACCTGGGCAGCTAGGTTACAGACCTCACCAGTGAGAGCAGGCAGAAGAGGCACTGGGAACCTTGGCCTTTTCCATGTTCCTGGTCACTAGGCGTCATGTCCCCTGAATAGGGGACCCATGCTTTTCTCAGTTTTCCTTTTGCTGCCGATGTATTTATTATAAGAGCCCTTCTTCTCATTTACGTCATCCGCTAGTTTCAACTCCAGATGAGCTTTGTCTTTCATAACTCCATCACCTCTATGCTCAGGCAATGTCTCTGTGTTTCTTGTAGATGACCTACCCCATCTTCTGCTTTCTGCATTCTGCTTTTTTCATGTTTGAACTCGATCAGGAGAACTCTGTTTAGCCAAACTGGCCTTCTGCAATGCTTGCCTTTCTGCACATTGGAAGGGAGCTCTGAGGAGGCTCTGCTTTAAAATTAACCTACCATCTTGGGCCTCTTTGCCCTATGGGACAATCTTGCATTGGATCCTGCCAACGCATCCCTGAACAATATAAAATCTGTTCTTCTGCCAAGTCCAGGATTGTAATTCAACCAGATTTTAAACTTCACCATCTGTGATTGCTGTAGCCTGTAACCTTTACCTCCCTCACTCTTCTTTGTTAGCTAGGAGTTTAAACAGAGCGTTTCCTCTAGCTGGTTTATCAATCATCTTTATCGAGAAGTTGTCATCAACACACTTCAGAAATCTCCTGAACCTTTTTTTTTGCCCTTCCAGCAGATACTGGGATAGTTAAAACTCTCCCCAAGTACCATAGCCTGCAATCATGAGGCATCCTCCAGCTTCCTGAAGAGGGCTTCCTCTTTTTAACAATATGGTCTGCAGCACATGCCTGCCATTGACATCATGATGTTGGTCCATCCTCTAATCCATGTCTATAGCAGAATTATTCTATGTGAAAAGGAGTCTTTTTTTTTAAAAGGTGATTGCAGTAGTGGGTTATTTTTTTTTATTTTTATGTTTTGGACCAAAGCATCATTCTTCTTCAAGAAACATTAAGAAGGGTTTCACAAATGAAAAGGAATGTACCTATATAACTGACAAAACTGCCAACAGTTCAGTTTAACTTCTAATGAAAGGGTAGTAATTCATTTTGTGGTTAAAATGTCGTATCTTAATTATCTCAGTCATTCTTTTCTTGTCTCCAGTGATATATGAAGAACATGTTTTCCTGTCATTTTAAGATCAGAATCCATGGGTATTCATTTGGATAGAATTACTGATTTGAATAATGCCACTCCAGCTGGTCACAAGTATAAATATTTATGATAAGAAAAATTTGCTGAGAGCTGAAGACTTGTGGGAGTGAAGGATGCTTAGTCCCAGCTCTCTCTGCCTGCAGGAGAAGCAGCTACTCCAGCTTGTGTTTCTAAGAGCAGATGCTGTTTCTCCATTGGAAGAGTTAATGATTTTTACTAGAGCGTTACTGACTCAGCCGCAGAACTGTGGTTTTCTTGGGAATAGGGACTTCAGTAGTTTAATGTGATATTTTGTAGCTTTTTTACTCATAAAACCTCTAAAAGTTATGGGCGTTACACTAAATCCTTACGGGCATTACACTAAATCCCAAACACTTTTAACTTATAGAAAATGGATGTACATGACAGGAACTGCCCTCCAGGCATAGTAGGAGAGCCTCTGACAGGCAGTTCACTTCTGTGCAAATTACATTTTGTAAATAGTGCCTGCAATCCTCTAAAACACAACGGTTTCTCAAGGAGTTTGACTGCACTCAATCCTTCTCACAATGAGAGCGAGCTTGAAGCATCCTTTCCTTCTTGAGCTTCATTATGTCAGTATGGTCCAAAGCAATTTGACAAATACCTTTCTCTGTCCAATGCTGATTTTTATATCCCCTTATATGTATACATAGCAGTTTCAGGAAAGGTTGGAAGAGCTAAGGTTATTTTACACCATACTGGAAACTTTTTTTTGACTTGTGATATATGTTTTAAAACACTATTCCAATTCAATGTCATGAGAAACCAAAGAGCTTTTCAGTGAAGATGTTTCCTACTCATACTGTAGTATGGGCAGTAGTCTGTAGTGCTCAAGAGGAATAGCACATAATCTGAATTAGATTTCTGGATCAGGTCTCTCTCTCCCTTTCTGATCCAGTGCATACTTAATTGTTTTTACACAATGGAACAGCAAGAGAATTTGAGAGAGGATTTTTTTGCATAACATCTGGAAGTACTATTGTCTTCATGTTATTTTTGCTGTTCATAGTTTGACCAGGGTTATTTCATCTTCAGCTAGAAACGAGAATTCCCGTGGAAAATTTCAACTTTGACAAAGCAGTGTTTTCTGACCCAAATAACTCTTTTGTTGAAAATTACTGGCTAAGCCTAGGCTTTCATAACATTGAATATGATGGATGCTCTCCATATGTGATGATCTCTGATCAGTTTAGGCTGGCATTGTAATGCAGTTACAACATTTTTAGAATAACAGAACAAATTCATATTCACTATTGTTGAAATTCTAATTGAGAGAACTCAAAACAGTTGGTACAGGTAAATAATAGATCCTCATATCTAGCATAAAGTCTGGTTTTACTCTATGCGGATCTAATTCCTACATAGTGTGTACAGCAAGTTAATAATAAAAGTATTAAGACATTAAAAATGGGCATAAATTGAGGGAGTTGATTTAGGATAACAGATGCAATGGATTTCATTCCTTGTACTTCACTAATAATAAAATGTAACTGTACATACTATAAATAAGAGTAGTTCAGATCTACTAAACTGTAGGACTGACTTCAGAAGGAAAGATGAACATTTGGATTACCTGACCTCTTGAAAATCTACTGAGTTGTTCCCTGGGTGCCCTCTGTTAGTTATTCTGCTTCCTTATTGCGAGAAATTGGGCTTGAGATTCAAGGTGTTTCTTTCCAGTGTGGCAGTGACACTGTTGCTCATAAGGTGATGGAAGCTTTCTAAGCACAGTGTTAAAATTGTCTTCATATTGAAAATATGTAAGGAGCCATTCTATAGGGGCATTCCAGAAATCAACTAAATTCCCTTGAATAAGAGGCACAATACAAGTCATTCATACATGTATTTTTCCAGTCTTTAGTCTTGTATAAAGTCATGTTATACTAACACTTAGGATGCTACATAGATTTCAGAATTGCATATATGTATTTGGGTTTCATCAAGAAAAAAGAAGACAAACTTATAAAACTAATTCTGTGGGTGAATTGTCAAATAGGGAATCTTTATTGGGATACATCAAAAAAGACTTTCTATTTTCTAACCAGAAAGGTTTTCAGGAGTTTCTATCCAGGAGGCAGTCTCCATTCTCACTTTTCAAGACCTGACTGGATAAAGCCCTGAGTAATCTGGTTTGGCCTCACCGCTGACTCCAGTTTGAGCAGGAGGCTGGATTAGGGGCTACCTGAGGTCCCTTCCATGCTGAATTATTCTATGACCTTCTTGATTTTCACAGTTACCTTGCTGGTATAAGTTGCGTTATGATAGCTTAACGTAACAGTAGGAAGTGTGCTATGGCATAGGACACCAGCTTGGAAACACATCAAAAATTGGTTTAAAGACAATAAATTTGTTTCTGAAGAATGGTTTATTGTACTCTATTAACATTAAGATGTTACTCAAGAAGATATTAGTAAGGGAATAGTCTCTGAATAGGTTGTTAGGTCAAAACCTCTTTTCTTTATTGATATGAGTAGGGAACATATGGAGTTTTGAATGCTGAAATTTGCATTTGTTATGACTAGTTAATTTGTTACTTATGCAGTTACTTGTTCAGGATTTCATCTAATCTTACACCCTTTTCAATCTTATACCTTTTTTTTTTTTTCCCCTGCAAGGTCAGTGTGAACCAATTACTTTGGAACTCTGTATGAACTTGCCTTACAACTATACTAGTTATCCAAACTATCTGGGCCACAGGACTCAGAAAGAAGCCTCTATCAGCTGGGAATCTTCTCTTTTCCCAGCCTTGGTTCAGACCAACTGCTATAAGTACCTTATGTTTTTTGCCTGTACAATCCTAGTACCAAAATGTGACCCCTATACAAATCAACGGATCCCACCTTGCAGGTAAAATACTTCTCCTAATTTAATTCTTGGCTAACATTGCCTTTGATATTAGTCTTTCCAAATTTTCTGCTTCCATTAAAAATGCCATTTTGTTTTGCTCTGTATTTCCATAGCAACAGGTATAGAATCATATTTTGTAAGATCATTAAATCTAGTTTATTACATGCATTTCATCAGTTTCTGAAATTTTCAAAATGAATATAAGAATGGTAGTTCAAATAATTTTCAAAATGTATATATTAGGTAAGGGTATGAAGTATTTTCCATTTCTGTGTGTTTGATTAGAACTGCACCACTATAAAAGATAGATAAATATAGAAAAATTATTTAATTTGAAACCTATTCATTTGTAATAGTTCATTGCATTTGTGTAACACTTGATCTGTACAAAGTCTTTTCCAAATCCTGTTAACAGAAACTGAAATTTTAATTTATGCTTAGCTTTCCTAATTAGAAAAGTGTATTGAAATACGTAGTCCAGTTTTGTCATGTCATTCATAGCCTAATAACTTACGCTTTGTACTTGTTCAATTAACTTTTTGACTGTTCTCTCTCAGTTTTTAATGTGTTGAAAGAAAACTGTATTGAAAATGTGCCAACACATCCTGCCATATAATATTTTGTCAAATAGAAAATAATAGAAAATTATTTATCTACTGATAAACTTCTTAGTGCAAATAAAGAGTGAGACACAGGGAGATTTGCTACGATATTGCTCCAATCTCACATTGGAACCTAACAGGGAAGTTAGAATATTGCATATGGGATGCAAAGGACAGGATTCAAAGCTCTGCTTTTACAACACTCTTACCTGAATCTAGAAGGACTTGAAGCTCCTGAGGGCAGAATATTGCATTCTGAATACACACTCTGGCATGTTCTGAGAATCTGATACTGCCTTTTCAAAACAATTTTCTTGTTCAAGGATAGCAGTGATTTATTGAGCTAAACAGGACACGTGCATCTTGCTTTACTTATTCTTTTCCAGTAAATATGAAACTGAGTTTGGCTGATGCAGTTTTCCAGTGGTAAACTTTCCAATCAAATTATACTTTCCAATCATGAATTGCAAATTCAGATTGTAATTCTGCATCTGTTATAAAATACATTTGTCAGAGACATATTAGGTTTTTTGATACTAGTCACATTGATCTGTTCTTTCCATTGTAAGTGGTACTACCTGGAAGTAGATTTTAATTCAATCTCTCTATATAAAGATGCATATACACATGTGTATATGCATGTAAATACACTCCCTCTGTCCCTTTGTAAAAGTTCTCATCATCTTTTTTGCTGCTAGTTTGATCATCATTAACTCTTTTAAAAAATAAAAGCCTTCTATGGGTTTTTGTTAAAGCAAGGAGCACAGAGGAACAGATTTTTTGAAAGAATGGATATGGTTGTTATTCAGGCCACTCAGTCATCTATCAACTACACGTAGATGAAGAAATGTGACTAACATTTCCTTGCTCATCCTCTTTAACTTTGGTTGGGATTATAAAGTTCCACTAACTGGGAATAAAGCTTTTTCTGGATAGTTTTAGGCAACTCCACTTTGTATCCACAGGACGTTATGTGAGCAATCCAAGGAACGCTGTGAGTCTGTACTTGGCATTGTAGGTCTGCAGTGGCCAGAAGACACTGACTGCACTCAATTTCCAGAGGAGAACACAGACAACCAAACTTGTCTAACTCCAGATCAAGATGTAGAAGGTAACTCCTATAAAAACATTTAACAGAAAATTAAAGATTAGTTTCCCTGAAGTCATTGATTTGTGTTTTTTTGATTTTTTTTTTTTTCCTATTTTCATTTTCCCTTTCAAATTATAATAAGTCATGTAGGGTAAGTTTAAATACTTAGGCAGCCAACTGTTTATGGAAAACATTCCAAATCAGTTTGCAGAGAATTTCCCTTTGCATTCAGCTATCTACAATTTTCAGATAAGAGAAAGTTTTTATACATGCATACATATATATATATATATATATATATGAAGCCTATTCTACAGAAGGATTAATTATTTTCGGTGTGGGAAAATAAATATTTGAGATTTGTGGCTAAGCTTGCCTACCTGTGTTTTCACTTCATTACCCACCTAGAAGATATAATCCTGCTTTCCCAATCACATGGCAAACTTCTGACAACATTAAAAAAGTTGAGCTCCATGACAGCTCAAAAAAAAATGCTGCCGCTGCTGGTGTCTTTGCCAGCTATTGTTTGCTCTTGATTTTTGCTTGGGAAAGGGTTTTTAGAGCTTTGTGCCAAACCAGCTTCAGTAGCAACTGACAAATTTTGGTCTGATGAGTCCAGCCATAATGCTACTCATTGTGGGTGTGAACACGGAGCGATGAATGGCTCTGCCATATTCCTTGTCTGGATAAAAAGAGCTGCTGTGCAGTGTCTCCTTCTGCTAGAGGTAAGCAGATGCGACCTCTTCCAACTTGCCGATTCTTTTTCCTGTCAAAATGTCAGTAAAGTAGTTGGGAAAATGGTGACGTGATGCATGCTAGGGTGCCCACAAAGTGCCGGTGCTGTTCGGTTCTTACTCTCCTCCTGCTTCATGCGTGATGGAGGTCACCCACAGTCTTGTGAACCTGAAGCAAGTGAAAGTTCATTGATTTGTAGTTCTTTAGTGAAGATGTATTGCTGAAAAAAACAGAGAAGCAGTCTGAAAAGCCAGAGAAACATCTACAGCAGTAAGCACTCTAGTCAAGCAAAGTCCATGTGAGCGTATAAATGATTGTGAGAGTTTTATAAAACATGTAATACCATAGTGAAATCCTTTGTAGTGGCAGACTGAGAGACAAGGAGATAGTTTCTCTCTACAACAATGGCATGATGGAAGGAAGTTATCTGTTATTAGAAAGCAGTAAGCAAGAAACAGAAAATCAAACTTTTGGCACAGCAAAGCAAGTTATAGAAAAATAATGTGATTTATTTTTCTTATGTATAAATGGCTTTTAACCTTCCTTGCTGGGTTGTTATATCATTTGTTTTTGAAATGTGATATAACATGGTTATATTTTAAATATATTACTGTATGGTGGATTACTGTATTCTGTTCTCAGAGTTAAGTTCTGTTCACTTATAAAATTTAGAATTTCAGAAATTCTCACATTAATTAAAGACTGAATGTTAAGCTGATTGAGTGATCGAAGCTGCTATCACTAAACAATGTTGGTTAGAAACAGTATTCCCTGGGAAATTTAAAATATTATATAAATATTTCTGGAAGAACACCTGTAACAAAAAGCAAAAGAAATTAAGCTTATAAGAACTTTTAATATATTAATGATTGCAAAACATAGGTGATCTGCCCACTTAAGCTATAACTGACAGAGCAACTACAATGTGCTGAAGTGCTTAACTTCCATTCTGGTAACTGTTGAATCCAAGAGTACTTGGCTGTGCCAAGACAACATTCATCATAAACTTAGTTATGTTCATAATAATTTAACCTTAAATGTTGACAGTATAGTTAACCATGCTTTTCTCATTAAAATGTTTTTTCTCAGGCTTCCAATTTTGCTCATGATGTTTTTGTTAAAACAGTTTATCAAATCCTAAAATACATCCAGTGCATTGTGTGGCATTAAATAGCTGCAGGATTCTTCTGGAAGCCAAAAAAAGGCAACATGTATATCCAACAGGAAGGTTGTATATCCAAGTCACAGTGTAAAAAAAAAAAAAATGGATGGGATTTTCAAAGGCACGTAAATAAATTGTCATGTGAAATATTCTCCAAATGGTATTGTAAGATATAGCAGAAGTTATGTCATAGTTCTTCTGTACATTTAACACTGGTTTTATTAATTTAAACAACTAGAAATTTTCTAAAATCAGAACCTTTTATCCTGGGGATCCCTTTTACTCTGTTCATCACATCAGATGATCTGTTTCTGTTTCATACAGCATCACACTGCTGAGCAAAGTAGCTGGAAAATCTGTGCTCATGGTGTAAACTTTATATGTCCATAATTTCATAAAACTTTGAAACTTGAGAGAGGGCAGCATGTGAAGAGAGCTCTGCTTCACCCCATGCACAGGGCAATTGCTAGGAATAGTCTCGTCTGCTACACAGTTCCAAGTTGTTATCTCACAAGGTTTCTATTTATGACATTTAACCTTTCAAAACAGTTACTGTGATAGATGAATAAATAGCCACGTGCTGATTAAGCTTTCAATTTATGGAGTTTTGTTTTTCACTTGTTCCTTGTCACTGACAGAGTGCTCCCCTAGTCACTTCAAGTGCCGATCTGGGCGGTGTGTCCTGGCATCCAGAAGATGTGATGGTCAAGCTGACTGTGAGGATGATAGTGATGAGGAAAGCTGTGGTAAATAAATTCAATAAACTAGATTTCTTTGAATAGAGAACTGACATCAGAAAAGTGTTTTTGTTTTTCTTCAGTTAGTTCAACCATGGTGTGACAGTTCGAAGGATAAGTCCCTTCTTCTGTAAGAAGGAGTACTTCATCTTGATTATTATTAATATAATTTATGATATTTAATATCTTAAATTCTGTTAACTATATTCCAGATGTTTGAATATTCATTCAGTATTTGAGGTGAAAAAAACTACAGATTTGGTTCCTCTTGTCCATTGATATTGATTGAGATTTCTTTTGAGCTGAAGCTTAACCTTCTGTCAGTTTAAATGCTGAATTTGTAAATGCAGTTTTAAGTGTATATACAGCAACATTGTCATGTCAAGAGTTAACTTTTTTTTTTCTTTCCCCATGGTCAATCTCTAGCCATAGGTGCAGGGTACACCTGAAGTAGTTAATGCAAACTTTATTCTCCAATACATTACATATGTAATTTAAAGTGGAGAAATTCTTGACCCTTAACTTCAGGAGATGTATTGGGTTTGAGTATAGCCAATAAATGTCATGACCGTGTATCAACTGGCAAGAAAATTCTGAGAAGAATGTTTTCTTATTTCTCTAGTGTAGTCTTTGTGGAATTCTGCATGTTGTCCTGTTTTTCCCAGGGCAAAAAGAGCAATGATAAATCACCAAGGATTTACATAAGAGGTGTAAGTATGAGTAAAGGACTGAAAAAGCCTCTAGCAGTGTGGGACTAAGGGACACCCTGTTTTGCTTATCAGAGAGAAGTTAAGAGGTGATGCAAGCACAGCTTCTGTGGGCAATAAAAGACTTTTCAAAGCTACATCAAATTTGTCAGCTCTATAACATGTGCTCCTTTTTAAACAGGAGGTTTGTTAGTGATCAAATAGCCAATGATATGATATAGGTATAGGCAGGATGTATACAGCTTGAAGCACTGATGTATTCTCAACCATTGAGAATTTTCAAATCAAGACTGCATTCTCTTTGCTCTACCTATCTCATTCTCTCTCTCTCTTCCCAGACAGAGAGAGAGAGAGAGAAAGAAATGCATGCTCATAGAAGAGGAGTTAGTTTTCGGTTATTCATTTTTATATATTATAAAGGGAAGGCAGAGCTGATGATCGTAGTGACTCTTTCAGAGTTTATTGTTGCTTTACCTCTGAATCAATCGTCTCGGTTGCCCTCCCTATCAAGTATTTTTTGATGCCACTTAAGTCCTCAGAACAGTAATTGCCGTTCATCTTTTAGGATAATTTTACACTCTTGGACATTAGCATATGAAATATTGTTCTGATACATACAATTAATTTCTTGAGTAGACCTCTCTCTCTGGTTTAGATGGAATGTCACTAGCAATCAACAGAATTCTTATCAGTTTCTATAAATATGGAAGGCTCTATCTGTTGGGATATTACAGCTGTCAGAGTGACATTACATTGACCATGGGTAATGCTGTTACAGAAGAACAGCCAGTCCTTGTAAAGCTGCAGAGTAACTGTCTGACTCATTCATATCCCATGTGTGCAGGCCAAAACCAAACTTGTTAATTCTTCCTTGTGTAAATGGCTAGCTTACATTATATTAGATGTAGTCTTTGAAATTGTTTTTGTGCTGTTAAATAACAGTCAGTATTAGAAAAAGAAACGTATTGTATTTGAAGTGACTTAAATGACATGAATAGTTTTATTGGTATGATGAAACTTATTTTGTTCGAATACAGTCTTTGAATGCTCAAAGTACTCTGGCCAGAACAGTCAAAAGGGACTAAACTATGTTCTGCCTGTGCAAAGCAGAGCTGTGCTTGACAGCACTGGGTGCTCCCTTCAGGAACCCGTTCCCACACTTTCACATGATCCCTGGGAGGGAAACCTCATCCATGCTGTTGCTGTGAAGCCCAACTGTGAAGTGAAATTTAGACTAGAATTCGAGGAGAAAATTTTACCCAGAGTTTTAAATGTGAGACTTTGGAGTGCATTCCAGCAAAGTGTGAAGAAAATAATTTCTGAAAATTACTATAACGAGAGAAGTGAATAGAGTTTATGATATTAAATACCCTCACTTGTAATAATTGATCATATAAATTTATAGGCTTCTGAACGACAGTCCTTTTGGCAGAAAGCAGAAGAGGGTCGTGGAAGAGTATTAAAGGAATTGAGGACAAAACATTATAAAACAGTATTGTCCTTCACTTTCTGCAATTGGAGATCTGACTATAGTATTTTAGCTGATGTAGTAATGTTGTGGTCTAACAGTTAAAGGCTTAAAAATAATTTCCTCAAGAATGTATTTGTGCGTAATAACAGATAGAAACTTATTTCATATTTTGAAGAAGAGCGAAGGTAAGATCATATGCAAATCCCTATCTCTTGTCAAAATGTATGTTTGATATGGGAGTAATGTAAGAATAAATTTTCAAACCTCTATTTCCACTTTAATTTTATTCTCATTAAATTAAAAATGTATGTATTTTGGAGAAATCAAACACCTCCAAATGATAGATGACCTTCTCCTGAAAAAAAATATATGTGTATATATATTCGAACATAGATTTCCATGTTGTGATTTTTTCCAAGGAAATTATGACTGTCTCTCTGTTGCACTTAAGTTTTGGAGAGTCATGGAGAGCCTCACAATAAAATGCTATAAACTGTAATAAATGGAGAAAAAACAAACATATTTAATTAATTGTAAAAACTTAAACTAACATATTGCAATGGTTCATAAATTAAAATTTACAATTTTATATTATTTTGTTTCTATATCAAATTTCTAACATGACTGACTTTCTTCTTTATTAGATAAAGGTTTTGTTTTAGATTCTGTTAATTTTTTGTTAATGGTTATTGAAGAAACACTCAAGAATGTTGTTAAGCAAGAAAATCCTTTGATTTGCTTCAGAGATTTCCACCAAACTCCAAAGAAATCCCTTTTCTTCCCAAATAAGCCCAGCTCTTATGCAAGAGAGAGCTCTAGTGTTGTTATTTCCAGAAATGCTAACCACCGTGTTCCCGGGAAGCAGAAACTGAGGTGTAGAATTGGATAAACAGCTTAAGCACTTTCTAGTGGTGGGAGATATAAATTGCACATCCTGGTTGCAGCCTGGACTGGTCTATCTTTCTAAGAAAGTTGCTGAAGATAATAGGCAGGAATATCACAAAATCATTTTCTAAGCTTTTGGCACCTCTCCCCTAAGCATTAGTCTTAGTTCAAAAATAAACCTGTATGTGTGTAATATGAATTAAACCTAATACCAGTGATGGTAATGTAGCTTTAATGAGTTCCCCTTGCAATTATCTTTTTATAAAAAATATTTTATGACATAGTAGTGAGTAGGTGAAAATGAGAATGAATCAGTAACACCTCTTTCCTGGCCATCACAATGTTACTCATTGACCCCAACACTTCCTACCTTCTCGGGAAGGCTGTTTATTTCTCTGTGTGCTTAGCATTTTTTGCATGGCTTGTTGAATGTAGACAAAATCAAGCACTTTGCACATCCAGGTATGATTAAAACCCAGCTAGATTTTTTTCCACAGTTACATGAGCTAGTGGTGATTCTGTGATTCACGTTTGTTAAATATTTACTTCTGAAATAATACAGCATACTGTTTTAGTAATTTATCCCAGATAGGTCTGGAAAAACTGCTTCAAATGCAGTATGTGAGCATAAACCCAGGCTTCTTCTGTATGTTTGCATAAGGGCTGTCACCTGAATTTGAGCTTGGGTTAAAACGAAAACTAGCACTGTTGGCTTTAGAACAGGCCAGACAAGACAATGAAAACTACATCTGTTTTGGTCAGTAGAACGTGAGAACTCTCTATTTTAGCATTTGTTATTGTGGCTTCCAGGAAAACCACAATGTCAGATGCACAGGACAGTATGTCAAACTAATTCATTCTAAAACCGATATCACAGTGAGGTGCTTTATTAATTGTGGAAAACAAATAGTGCAGATAAGACAATACTTTTTTTTTTTAAATGTACCTCAGGCCCTTCTTAATTTTCTCTAGTTGGCTGGCGGGATTTTTACAATCAGAGCGCTTTGACACAGTTTTTAAAGGATTCCTCTTGAAGGCATTAGGAAATCAGGGCTGCTGATTAGTCGGCCTTTGAAGAGACAGTAATGTGGGATGCTGTGTGCATAATAATAAATCCTCTTGGAGCTTCATACAACCATTGCGCCTTTATAATCTTTTAAATCTTGTTTGTTCTCAGGTTAATGGGACTAAGAAAATTTCCTTCATGGTCAATACTTAGAGCATGTTCCTACCTTTCACTTGAATCTTCATCAGATTCTATATCAGCTCTGTCAAGAAATAAAAATCTTTTTTGTTACGTTTCCTCATGGAGATTCCACACCCTCAGAGGATTTAATTCTGCATAGTATGCTTTTAAAGGAAACTCCACAGACTTCAATGTTACAAATATTTATTACTAATAAATGCATTTCAAGAATATTTGGGTGTGGATAAGTATTTGAGCTAATGCCTAAATCAGTGTGTATAAAAAATACCACACATTAAAAAAAAAAAAAAAAAAAGCAATGACGTATTATGAAGTATTATTGTTTTATGCCCATCTGAATGACTTTTCAGTGTAATAGTCTTAATTCTATTTCCTAGTTAGTTCTTAAGTCTTAATAAGTCTTAAGTCTTAAAAATTCCTTAAAAATTATACTGCAACTGAAAACATTTTGATTTTTTTAGGATTATTATGGAAAAAAAGAAAGCTGTTGACATTTGATATTGCATGCAAGTATTTCAGAACTGTGTTTCTCTACTTCCAGGATGTAGGGCAAGGGGCCTTTTTAGTGTCCTTCGAAGAAGCTTTGCATCAAGCACACTATGATCTGCGATGGTTTCCCAGATTGCCCTGACAAGATGGATGAAAAGAACTGCTGTAAGTGCTTCTGCAGATTGTTGGTCCCTACTGTACTGTGTAAAGCTTTGAACGCATTTTGGGGATTCTGGAGTCCAGAATAAATTGAGATAAAAGGATTCTCTCCAGACAGAAAACTCATTCATTCCCTCAGTTTCCTTTTCAGTCCTTCTGTGGCAGCAGTTTATTTCTTTCCTCATGTTGTGTCCTCTGTTTTTCATATCCTTGAATTCTCAACATCTCTTCGGTCACTCCATCTCTCTCTCCCTTTCTCTCTCCCTCTCTCTCTCTCTCTCTCTGTTCCTTCTCATATCTCATGTGTCTTAATGTGTCTTTGTGTCTTTTCTTTTTACTTCTTATAGATCCTTTATTTTTTCCCAACTATTCTCAGCTTAATTTCATATAGATATAGCTGCTCACTGATCGTTTTTCTTCATTTCATCTTGACTTTCCTATTAATCTGTTCTTCAATAGCTTTCATACATCTCCCTGTTTTCTTTGATTCATCTGCTTGATGTTTCTTAGATCCTGTCTTTCCATGTGGCCTCCCTGTCTTCTTCTACATTCCAAACTGTGATAAATATTAGACATAAAAAGCTTAGCATGATACAGTGAGAGTATGGAGATATGAGCTGGGCCAAACTGCTCTCATTGGGTAGTAGATCTCTTTCTCCATAGGCAAGCTGGAACTTGGCTATGTTGTTTCCACTTCATAGCCAACTGGTGCGATGGGAGGAGGTAGAGGATCCGTGGATGGCTGCTGCTTTGCATGTTCCCATCCTGCATGTGAAGATGTGAAGCCAGGAGTGGGTGCTATGAAAATTTTCCTTCAGTTAAATGGATAGATTAGTGGAACTCTGAATTCTCTTCTTATGAGAAAATGTGGTGCATGTGTGTGTGGCCAAGATTAGGAACCAAGAAAGACATACTGGCCAAGAGTCAGCATGGGAAAGATGCTTGGGAAAGTTGTTTGAAAGTGGAAATTTCAGTTCTCTGGGCAATCCTAGTCTTTCAGCATATTTGCTGGAATTGTAGGAAATATATTTTACAAATTAAGTTCTGTTAGCAGAGACATCATTTGTCTTCCAAGAGATCTATGTGCAGATATCTTAAAAAAAAAATCTAGCCATTCTACAAATTCTAATTCTACAAATTCCTGCCATGATACATACAGCCAGTCCTCTGTTATGGAAAGCATGTCACCACTACTCATTTTTTTCTGATCTTCATTTGAAAGTTTATTTAAATTCTGTAGGTCTGGATGCTTTCAGATCTAAAAGGAGAAGTATTGTGGACCAAAGCAGTAAACTGTGTCATCTCAAAAAATCTGTGAGATTTAAGCATATATGTCTCCTGTGTCTTAAATAGATTTTTATGGTATTTCTTGACTGTTTTTGTGTCAGAGTGTGGCTGGTCCAAAGTGACAGCACAGTGTGCTCAGCTGAGGACTTCCAACTTCGGCATATACTCTTTCTGGAGGGCAGATTTAGAAGACTATTTCTAATTTTGCATGTTTTCTTCCAGAGCCAAAATGATCACTTATGTAGACATCACTGCCTTCTAATTCTGCATAACTTTCACTATGGTATTTATTCTTTCCACTTGCAAATAGTTGCTTAGCTTAAATATCAATACAGAAACTGTACAACAGCCAAAAATAGGCACAAATGAATGCAACTTTCCTCAAGCACTCTGTTTCCCCCACCCTAAATTTCCTAATGAAGAGGTTTATAGGAGCTGGAAGAGGAGTGTGTTTGGGAGGAAGGTGCTGTAATGACATACACCTGCTTTTGGGGTAATATTTTTTGTGATTGGGAGCAAACTAAAAATCTCCTGCAAATGGACATTCCTGTAGTTCCTTACAAATTAGCAATGTATTGTGACCTGGAGCAAGTCAATCTGCTATTTAAAACCATGGACTTTTTTTTAACCTCACTTTAGAGATGAGGAACTGAGGTACAATAGAGGATCCGAAAGAGAAATACAGAACTTGCTGTGGATGAAATAAATACATGCATGTTACAGGAAAACATTTTTTAAAGAACATAAAGCAATAGGCATGTTTACAGCAGTCTCTTAAAAAGCAATGAACACAAGTTTTAGCTTAAAACTTAAGTGAGAGACTGAGGTTTCATATGGCAAGACTACAAATTATATTGAATAAATGAGATAGACGGGGCATACACCACAAATTTTGCCATGTCCAGAAATCCTTCCTTCCTTTTGGCTTCAGGAGCCCTTTGTGATTGAGTAGCAGCAACCATCTTCTACCTCAGTGGTGTCCACCATCAGTTTTGCTGCAAGTCTATCACAGTGCTACATAATCTTGACCTGTGCCTACCTTCTCCATCCTTCAGCTTTTCATGTTGTTTCTTTCTCAGAAGGAAACATATTTTTGTCCTTGCAGCCTTCTGTGGAGAGGATGAGCTAGAATGTGCCAACCATGAATGTGTGCGACGCGAGCTCTGGTGTGACGGGCAAGTAGACTGCAGTGACAGCTCGGATGAATGGGACTGTGGTAAGTTTCCCTCTTGGTAGACTTGCCTTGAAGTGATGTTTGGGTGATGGTAAAACTAATGGTAATAATTGCTGGTGGTTTGTTGTAGAAAACAGTGGTAAGAATTGCTACTCCCGCTTCTGAAAAGAACCTGAGTTGAGTTGAGTTGAGTTGAGTTGAAGGAGGCTTTTGGGGGTTATTAAAGGAGAGCTCACCAAACATTATTCTTTCAATAAAAATGTAGATGGATTTCATAAAAGATATACTTAAAAGAAGCTGGTTGGAGATTGGTAGTATAGCCCGCGCTGGTATTTTACTGAGTTATTTTTTTTTCTGTACATTATTTTATATTACTAAGTTCTGAGATGCTTGTAAGTCGCTTTAAATGTAGGATAAAAGATATTTCGTGGCTCATAGAATCAAATACTTTGTATTCATATTGAAGTACATTGTATGAACATTTAATATTGTATAAACATTAATAGCAATGTTTAGTAAAACCTATGCATCAGAAATTAAGTGTTCTAGAAATGCATGTGTGAAAACCGTAAACAAAGATAAATACATACTTTTATGGGGAGAAAATCAAAAGCATCTTTAGCATATAGGATAAGTGACTGTTTATGTTAAGATTAGTACTATCCAAGCAAAAGTGAGAACAGTTTAAATAAAATCACTATGTAGTTTGGGAAAAAATGCACATAAAACGTGTCTTCTTGTTAGGGAGCCTGGAGGGATGCAGGAGGGATGCATATTTCTATTGGCTCATTTGGGATCATTGTGAGAAGCTTTTTATGTGTTTTTAGACATCAGTTAAGAGAGAGAAGTGATGATCATGCTCTTTCTTGTAAGCAGTACTTGGTTTTTCCTTAATTTCACTCAAATATTGTTGCGACAGGAACAATTTATATTTTTGTGAGTCAAATGATGTTATCACTCATGTCAAACATAATTCATCCCATAAATAACCTAAGTGATTTCATTTGGACTATTTGAGGGGTAAGGCACCATTTAACAAGATTAAGGCTATCAGAAACATGTGTGAACTGTTCTCAAGATGTCTTTATTGTTTGCTGTCTCAAACAGGATTTCCATAGCCATAGTTGCCTCTATTTTAACTGATGTATCTGTTGAGCTTGGAAAGTGAGCAAAAATGCCAAATCTTCCATAAGTGGAAGACACTTTTGAATGAAGTTATTTGTTTTCAGTGCACCGTATATAAAATCAACCATGCAAAATTGTAGTCAAGTTATTTTTCTTCTTATTTGCAGTTACGCTGTCTAAAAACATGAATTCCTTGACGTTCCTGACAATTCATAGGTCAGCTGCTGATTACCATGTTTGTGCTGACGAGTGGCAAGAAAATTTGAGCCAGCTGGCCTGCAATCAGATGGGTTTAGGGTAAGGTCAGTAGTTTGTAGCATTGATGAATTTCTTAGGATAATTGGCATGATAGAGTTTGAATTTGTGAATGATCATTGATCAGCGTGACCCTGCGATGTTAGTGTGGACTTAGTATGGAAAGAGTTCATAGAGAAAAGGGTTAACAAAATTTTTTGACCTTTGGCTAGAGCAAAAGCTAGTAAAAATCTAGGTACTTTTTACCATTTTACAAACATTAATTGCCAGGTTACCAAAAGAGCATGTGGAAAAGTTAATGATCTCTTGCTTAGCCTCAGTATGCGAATTTGCACTTATTTAGGAGATTCCCAATCAATTGGAAATGTGACACTCTTGTGTATTCCTAAGCAAGTAAACCAGAACTTCTTTCTAATAAGCTTAAAATCCTTTGGTATCTTTAAAAATAGTTATTGCTTTTGCTACTACTTTGTTGTCTAGGTATAAACTGATGCTCTCAGTACTTAATCATGCCCTTTCCCCCCCTCAATATTCTAGTCTAATAGCCTTATCATCAAAGTTTCTTCTCTTCCTTGCTCTTAGGAAAGTGGAAAAGGTGTGCAATTATCCTTCCTTTTTGCTGAGCTGTATCTAGACCAAAATTAGCAGGAGCAGAAACTTGCTTCTTCCTTCAGCAAGGCTTGCTTATGGAAGTAATTGTCAACTCTATCACTTCTGAGACAATGTATGAGACAAAAATATTTCCATTTCACAAATCCCTTTTCTAACAGGGGAAGAGTCATAATAACTTTTCTGTAAATCCTCTTTGTAGTAACAAGTGATTGAATGAATGGCTGTGATAAGTTTAAATTTGAATTTTGTGACTTGAGCTTATCTCTAATACACAGTTTTAATTGTTACTACCAGTACTTCAGAAAACCATAGTGGTAATTTTCTTTCCCATTTAATGCCTGATTTTGTCAGTACCTGAAGCTTGATTTTCTTAGCTATCCTCCCAATGCGTAGGAAATGGTGCTGCAGAACATGTAGTAAATTAGCTGTGAAGATCTTTAAGAAAACCCAAAGATTATAAAACATGCATCAGAACTAATTTCAGAAAGAAATAAGAACTAATAAATTATTTAACTCTACTTTTAGTATTGCTTAGGATTGCAATGGAAATTGAATCACGAAAGGGTAACATTGAGTCACAAAGGGTAACATCTTCTATATGGAAGGATAGAAGATTAAGTAATATAATGGTGTTACACAACTGTGAAATCTGACTTAAAGCTATAAGCTTCATCTCCTTTCATCATCTCCAGCATAATTTATTAGACAGTTAGCATAAGGAGTACATGGGAATTAAACTGTAACTTATAGGAAACTCAAGTAGTGCTGAAATATTTTTCTCCTCATTTTTTTTTGTGTTTTCTTTTAAAAATAACATAGTTTGAACTGTGATTTTCTTCTGTTGATCCTAATTGGAAATATTTCATTTTAGTCCTTCAAAAAATTAAAGCTGTGAACATAGAAATTCTCTCCCTATTATGCGACATTCCAAAACCCATCAGCTGAGTAGCTATGCAAATTCATTAAATAAAAGCTTTTACTGATACATTGTTTTGGTTTAATAGTTCTCTTGTTTATTCTTACAGCAAAATAGTGCACATGAGATTCAAAGCTGGGACGTCTTAGTATCTTAGGCTGGGAATTACAATGAATGCTTTCCTTCCTGTATAGCTCTGCACAGATAACTGATATCTGTGACCGGTGTTTTCCCAAATGCCAAAACGCAATTACTGTATCATAGAATCACAGAATTGCTGGGGTTGGAAGGGGCCTCTGGAGTTCATCCAGTCCAACCCCCTGCACACACAGGGTCAATTACAGTGTGTGGCACAGGGTCATGTCCAAGGGGGGGTTGAGAATCTCCAGGGAAGGAGATTCCACAACTTCTATGGGCAGCCTGTTCCAGGGCTACATCACCCCCCAGAAAAGAAGTTCTTCCTTAAGTTCCTGTGGAACTTTTGGTGCTTCAGTTTGGGGCCGTTTCCCCTACTGGTGGCCAATGTTACATATATGAAAATAATGCATTCCTGGCAGCTTGCAGATATTTTTATTTGCTCAGACTAAATTAATCTGGAAAAGATAAGGAGAATTTAGTGACAGTGGTTAAAATTAAGTTAATTTAGCTAATAGAAGTAGTGCATTTTATCTAATAACAAATTGTCCTCAGTCTGGGAGGTCTGAGCACTGTGTCTGAAGCAACATTTGAGATAATTCTCTTCTGCCTAGTGCACTCACCCCAGGCTGTATTCCTGGTTGTTGGCCAGTTCTGATTCCGTAGGTGCTGTGCTCTTTCTCAGCACAGTGCAGGTACGTGATGCAACTTCGCAGAGAACCATGCAAATTCCAAGCACTGTGCAAGGCTGCTGACTAGTGATGGCTGGGGCTCAGGCTCTGCAGTGTGTCCTTAGCAGCTCGTATGTTTTCCTCTAGCTGAAAGAATGTTATCCATGAGCTGAAGTTTTGTTTATAAGAGCCCGACTGGAAATGTTTTAATAATGCAAGTGTTAGGTTTCATAAAGTTTGCAGCCAGCGGGGGCTATTGGATCATCTGATATGACATCCCATTCATCTCAGTGCAGATAATTTTGTTCTTATTTTATTTGAGCTCCTCCTGAGCTCAAAATTCAAATACTATAAAGCGTGTCTTTGGCAATTGGTTTCCTAGTACCACAAGTGTAGAAGAGAGGAAACAAATGGCCACCAGTGCTCAGCTCAATCATTAGCGATACCACGAGGGTCCTGCAGAGGCTGCGTTGCGGAATACGAACATATGCGTGCTCAAAATATTGTATTATGTTCAGAAGACTGTAGATTTATCTGGATGTTTAGTTGATGAAAAACATTTTCATACACTCTGAAGACTACACTTTTGTTGCCGAAACAGTCATCAAAACCGTGGCCTGCTCATACCTGAAATTTGGCAAAAACAGAATTTAGTGGAGTTGTTTGGCTGCTCTATGGGAATTCAGTGCATAGTTTCTCTTTCTTTCCTGTGAGATCACAAATGTTATAACAATAAACTTCAGCAGGTTGCACCCAGCTGTGTGAAGGGTAATTTCATCTGAACTGCTTCATGTGGTCTAGCAATATAAGCATAAAAGCATAGCTGTTTCCAGTATAAGATGCAGTCATCTTTAATAATATTTGTTGAACAGAGTAGTTCAAGCTGCTGGATCAATAGTCTTTTTTCTAACATGAATTATTATGCTGTCTATCTACTTTCTAACAACTGCTGCATCAGAAATAATGGAAGTTGAATATAGCGTTTTGTTTAGAAACATCACAGAAAACAAAAATGGAATACTTATGCTCTATCCGCATTAGATTTTTTGAACTTCTGAATTTAACCCATTTTCTCTAAGAATAAATGTGATAGTAGGTCAAATTCCTTGTCACAAATAAAGTATTTCAATGCATAAATTCAATGTAGAGTTCTAAATCCACTTGAAAGAATGTAAAATATGTCTGACCTACCTTGAATACATCCATATTGGCAGCAATGTATTCTATTAATTCTTTAAAAGAGCTAGGATAGGAAAAAAAAAGACCCCAGAATTCTTCAGATTACATTTATTTTATTAAAAAGGGCAGCAAATAATTTTAAGCAAAATACTTACGTTACCTAAATTTAAAATAATTCTACAGATATATTAGATAATATTTGATAGTTTATGCCTTATCCTTCATGTATGCATGTAGTTTTAAATTTCATATAAAATTATTGGGCGAAGACTTTTTAAAAAGAAATTTTAATCCAACAATTCCTTGCAAATTGTGACAAGTGCTTCAAGTTTTCATTAATCATATTTTCAATTGCCTCATACAGCACTCTTTTAGCTGTACTACCAGATACTCTTTATTAAGTAAAAAAGTAATTATTATTATTGTATAAATTGGAGAAAGGTGAATGCTTCCAATCAAAGTAAAGGTTATTACTGTAATGATTGCTCATGCTTTTATCAAGCTATGTTGTGTCATAACTTGTATAAATGACATTACAGAATCTGTTCTTTCCCAATGACATCCAAATCAAATTTTCTCAGTTTAAAATTAAACAGATCTTAGTTCTTACTGTCTTACCTGGAAATTTATGCTGTTAACTGCAAGCTGAACTGTTTTTGTTTGTTTGTTTTTTGTTTCTGTTTGTTCTTGTTTTTGTGACTAATGCATTATTACCAATAGAACTATACTAACATTTTTCAATAAACAATAAAATTGCTGTAAAGTACAATATTGAAATAAAATAATAGTGAATTTTATATTCTATGGTGTAACTATGGTGTTATAGGACTCTGTTCAAGAGTAAGAACCATCTTAAATTCACCTGTGAGTACAGACAAGAAACACAAACTGTTCCAGTTCTGAAATAGACCTAGTTACCTGATATTTGTTACCTAGTAGTTTTATACGTGCATATTCATGACCTTCTGGTAGGTCATGCGGCTTCCTCTTTCAGACCTGCCCTGCTCTCACATGAGGCTTAAAACAGTGGAGTTATAGAAGCTGAATCTGGCAAAATTACTGGTACATTGAAGAGAGGAGAAATCTGGTTTGGAGATTATTGAAACACACATTATTGAAACATATATTTTATACTGAATTTAGAATTTAAGTGCTTTCAGATAGTTTTGCACAATCAAATAGGAGAAATTAGAATTTTACATTCAGATAGATTTAAGTGCAATTTAATGAAAATGCCTTGATTTTCTCATTTTTAAGTGACTGATTTTACAGTGTTATCTTCAAAAAACCTTTTTGGAGATTGCCTTAGATTAAAGACAATTTCTTAGACTAAAGGAATTAGATGTGTAGAATTATATATGTTCTTAGATGTGTATTTATCTTTCTGTGAAGCAACAAGACCAATTTCACTAAGATGCAAACTCTTCAGTTGACTTAAAACTCCCAGTGGAACATTGGAGAGAGTGGAGATTGAGCTCAAGCTTTTAAGGATAGTTGTAAAATGAGAGCAAAAATATCTGTGGAAAGAA